CTGAAATGATAGAGAAAGCAACCATTGTTCTATGCTCTGCATTCATGTTGTGTGTATATTAACTTAAAGGCCCAGATATACTATAAATACGGTCCTAAACAATAGGGATTATTTCCTTGCTTGTCACACTGTAGTAAACAGCTCCAGCCAAGCCCCGGTAATAGCGCGTTTTCTCGAACTTACAGGTCGATTATGTCATGCCAAAGTGGATGCATGCGACTATGAATATCACAGCAGTGACTGTGTGTAGTATTTATGACAATAAATAGTGTACGAGCTGAGATTTTGGCGGATAAAAGTCAAAAACTCGAACCGGGGAAAGGGACGCGCTACTAATCTTGAATAATTAACTACTGTCAATCAAAGTCACGTGATGTTGGACCGCTAAAACAGGATGCGTCATAGGCTATGCAAGTGATTAACAACACTCATTAGCATAATCACACCTCCAATTCACACTTGCCCGGGGCAAGTGAATTGGGCCTTTAAATGAATGAAATGCAAAATGTTTTAAGACCAAATTCTGATGATCTGATTTGATCATATTTTAATGCAAATTCAGGTTGGGAAAATTGCTGAAATTAAGTAAATGTAAGAAAAGCAATAATCATCAAAATCTGTACCTTAAACTAAATATCTAAATAAATGCATTTCTATTTCTAATAATAATTATTTAATTATCCACTTGGAAAACTGGACAATAAAAACATTAATACATGAAATAATTGGTTTGTGATATAAAACAGTTTTCAAATTTATGAGAATGCAAATAACTGTGAAACACTCACCTCGATGATTGCTGTACTCAACATCCGATGCAGCATTATAAATTGGGCCACTAGAAAATCTCCGTAATGAGTAACCTGGCAACGTAGTACTTTTACTGATCGAATCAGCACTTGCAGTGTCAGAAAAACGGTGTGAATAATTGTCACCAACATCGACTGCGCTGTCTGGGGGTGAGTCACTGTACCCTCCTCCCCTTGAGCTCAGTGTGTACGGTGCGGACACATTATCGGCGCTCGTAAACCGATGAACAAAATGTTTAGATCCATTTCGGTATTCCACAGTTGCACATTTCCCAGAAGGCAAATTATCCTGACTGCGATAACGAGGAAAGTCAGGTCTATGAAGTAATCCAAGCATCTCCTCGCTGTTCTGTTGGAGTCGGCTTTTCAGCTGTCGAGACGAATCATTCTCTGTGTTAGTTCCTCGATTGTCATCTGAAGAGAAATTCAAACTCTGGCGACTGAGGTTGAGGTATGATCTAGCAGTTTCAAGATTAGTCCGTTGCTTCACTGGCGGTCGTGGAGTACGACTCGCTGGCATACTATTCTCTTTTTCCTCCGCTTTAACAATTAGCTTAGCAGGGGTGATAACACGACTTTTGTCAGTCACATGATTCAGCGCTGGATTGCGCTGGAAGGCTTTCGGGTATTTCTTTTTGAGTTCATCATAAAATTGAGATCTGAGTCTTGGATAATTGGAGAGGGAGTCTCCGTCTTTGAGAGGATGGTGTCCATTTGGAATATAAGATCCAGTCTTATTCTTGTACTTGGGCTGTAAATATAGATTATTAATTAATATTAATGAAGAGCAATCTTAAAACTTAATCAGCTCATAGTGTTCAATATATGTGTTATCCAGGCTCTCATTTTTATTCTGTTGATTCCATAGAAAAAATTTATAGAATAACGATTTCTAGTTGAACCTAAAAAATGAATTTTATGAAAAGTATAATGCCAAAACACAACACAGGAGTTCATCCACTGAGAGGTGGATCTTATGAATAAAATAACCATATGATTTCAGAAAAAAAAAATATTTACACTATTTCTTCTTTATTTGGGGTTATCTATGATACATTTCCAACATAAAACATGTGCCAGAATATTTACCTCACATTTAATCACTTTTTTTCATTTACATTGAACGTAGGGAAAATATCACAAACAGAATATCAAAGCCAAACGAAACCAAGCAGAAATCTCGTAAAATTTTTCAATTTTGGCTTTTAATTTTCCCTAATTTATAACTACAAGCATGAGAAATATGTGTAATAACAATGTTGTCACAAGAATACTGAAAAGTATTCACTCAGGCAGTATGGGATCACATAGCCTCACATATAGATTGGTAGATACAATCACCGTACAACTTTTGCCTTCAATTTTGCAATAGTCTAGTGCCTCATTAATTTTAATAAATTAAAACGAGAAAATTAAGATTTATTACAAGTACCCAGCAAAGGAGATTAATTGTATCGTCTGATATTAAAACATGTCTGACAATAAAGAAATGTAATTACAAGTCACTAAGTGTGGTTCAGTTTACAATTACACCAACATATCATGATTGAGTAGTTTTATTAACTTTCTGAATACCAAAGTCAACTTCAGTTATCATCCACAAAATAGTTCAATTTATAGTCTGCTTTTTTTTCTACTGAAAATGTTTATGAAATTTTAATTATTTTGATCGAATACTCAAAGCAATGTCAAATTTTGTCTGTTTGAACCAAAATTAAGATTGAATTTAGTGAAAAATACAGTAAATGTGAACATTTTTACCAAATTCTGAGCGGGAAAATATCTGACACTCAAAGGGTTAATGAGTGTTTGTTGATCTATGTTCAATACTGAACACTTCTATACGGTTGTCAAAATAAAGTATCAACCTAGTAGAGACAATTTCAGCAGTTTTAACAATGCAGAAAGAGACACTGAGTGGAATTGACAGAAACATTGCCTAGAGGCTACTCCTGAAAGCCTGAAACATTTAACAATTTCAATTTTTCTGAAGAATTTTCAGTAATTTTGACCTTAAAAATTAAGTGTTCTTAAAATGTAAGAGACATTTCCATTTTTTTTATGTGGTATGGATGTGATACAAAGATTTAATTTATAAAACACTCAAAATTGGATTTTTTTTTTTTACTTTAGATAGACTAATTGAAACAATTCTGACAGAAGTCATGCTGTGTCCAACCAAATGAAGCATCATGTTCATTCAGCATGTGTGCTTTCAAAGTTCACACAGGCAAACAACAGATTTACTGTCGTTGTACGATTCACTTGGGACTCGTATTGAACACAACGTAACTTGAGTGTAACAATCTAATTTTCATCAGATTATAAACATAAAATATAAATCTAGTACTTGCTTGATAAATATACTGCAGATTAGCTACAGGTATGATTACTTTTTATAATAACATTTTCTTCAATATATAGGGATATGAGAAGAACTGATTAAAATCACCTAGGAGTATTAAACATGGTAAGCACTTTTTTATAGACCTGGGTTTTGCTTTAGTCTGTGGATTTTGATCTATAAACATAGAAATCAGTGATTTATCGAATGAATAAACATATCAAGCTTGATTGTCTGACCTCCGAGGTCGTTGCCATGGAGACAAACCTAACAGTGGGGAATGCCATGTTGAAACTGACCTCATTAGAGAAGCCCCAGCTTCCTGTCCTCTTGTCTTCCCAACACCTGATATCTGCAGAGTTTTCCAGTATTTACGGAATTGCAGGGAAAGGATAAACTGGCGACACAGTTGGAATTTACCAATTAGTGGGCCTGTTAACAAAACTAATTAAACTTCTATTTTTTTTCACTAGTTACCCCTAGGAAAATTACATACTGCAATAAAAGTTAGACATGCATGATGTCCATATATTTGATCAAAATAAATTTCACAAACTAACACATCTTCATGTATAGTGATATATTTCACAGTATTTGCCATAAAATTGTGCTAAAGACGTACTATACATACATACAGTAAAACATTCTTGGCAATATTGTTGGCAATCTGCCAGTTATTATAATTATAGTTTGAACTATGGACTTAAAATTTTCCCTTGCAAGCTAAGGACATTTGGAATATTCAAACTCAAGTAATATTAGTTGTATATGAATTATGGTTTTTTTTATTTTTTTAGAAATTTTACTAACACTTCAAGTAATCAATTGAGAACCCAACAAAGTGATACTTCATGTGAGAAGAAACAATATATTTCTAACACCTCATTAATACAACCAAAGTGAGGATCTGAACAAAAAAAATTCTTGTTGTTCACAGATTCTTCTTGATTGCTTCAAATTGTTTTTTTCACTTCCCATCATTGTTTTAAACTTTTGATCGATTTTGAACTTTTGTCTACTAAACCTTCATAACAATTTTCTTATTTTTTTTTTTCAAAAATTGTGATCAAGACGTGTGGCCATTTAAAAGTTACGTGAATTTGATCTAAAATTAAATTATAGAAAAATTTACAAAAATGTGAAAAATGTTGACTAAATTTTTGACAGAAATTTTGGTCGAAAATAATGTCAACTTTTTTCACTTTTAACAAAGTAAACTTACATAATGTTTTCACTTTTTTTTAAACGTTTGAACAAGACTTGTAAGCCATGAGAAATTGAGTCTATTTGGTCCAAAATAAAAAAAAAAACAGAATTTAATGAAAATGTTCAAAATTTTCGAAATTTCACAGAAAAAATTATGTTTTTGAACGAATTATCAACTAATTCGTAATTTTATCAGATTTTGTTAGATAAATTGGACAGATATACTGTATTTGCTCTTAGAAGCGCATCTCCAACGGAAGCGCATATAAACCAAAAATATTTTTTTTTTATACTGAATTCAAATATTACTTTATTTGACTACATTCCTGTAATTTACGTAACCAGATGCGCTACTAATAGAGCAAATACGGTATATATTTCAGGCAGTCCTATGTACGGTACCTTCAATAAAAAATTTTTTACAATTACACATATTTCTATTCGCCAAGAAAATTCATGATTATGGTTGACATGGATTTGGCTGATTTTATTTTAATATTTTTGGGAATATCTGAAAATGATATTTTCACAATGTCTGAATACCTGGATATGTTCATCCGATTACTGAGTCCATATAATCCAACATTACATAAGTAATGAATGTTTATTACCTATCAGTCTTATTATACTTTCTACAAATCCACTTTTATGTACTTCAGCCTGTAAATTTCATGAGATTGTTGGCTAAATTCCCAAAAAACAGTTGGTAAAATTCACTGCTACAAAAATTTACAAGCCTTACAAAATGTGTTTCTGGTTGATTTAAAAGCATCTTTGCATTCTGTTTATATCAACATTTATTCGATTAGTAGTACTTCTATGAAAATTACAAGAGGTGTGTCTGGGTATACACTGATTCACCAAATACAATTTTAGTTTTATACTATTACAGACTGGAAAATACTTTATTTTCTCCATAAGGAATAATCCAGTGAAAATAAATCCAACGAATATGCTTTTTTTTCCTATATTTTACATTAAACTCACCAAAAATCAGTGAAAATAAATTCCATACAAAACACACAAAAAGTCTTTTCAGCAAAATTTGATTCCAGCTAAAATAAAGTATTTTACAGTAGTCCTTCATTAGGGAAGGACTGTGACTATTGGAAACATGCTTTGAATGAAGCAAATACTGAATAAGCTTGCATTTCAGTTTGCAGCATACACCTCAGTCGTACTTCATGTTTTTACTACGTTTTCATTTACACATTTCCTTAGTTAAGTATATTATAAACTTTATTATAACCGCTAAATGTAACATGGTTGCTTTATCAATTGATTTACTGTGTCATAATTGTTTTGACAATAATTGGACATGTCTGAAATCACAGATCTGTGATTTGCCTCCTTATACCTTTACAATGAGCATCTGTAAGTCTCTTCAAGTTGAGATATCGTTAGTCCATGTTTTATCTCCCACCGTGACACTAAACAAGTGGTTGAAAAAAGAAAGTTGAAAAGCTTAAAAAAATGACTTGATAATAGTGCATTCAGTCAAGAGTCTTACTACGTTGGAATTTAAGATGAATGACATTGTCCTCATTTTGATTATGTGTCAAATACCTTTATTGAGTACATACATGTATACCTAGTATGTTACTTGTTCAACCGACAATGACCCCTATTGTTCGACAATAGGACATTCCGACTCGTAGAATGCTTGCCAACTGTCAATATTCAGTCAATTGTACTTTGGTAGCAGGAACTAAACGATGTTTTAAACTTGAGATTTAAATACAAGTCCACGATCTGGATTGAATTATTTTCATTTCTTTCTGATTACATAATACTGCCTGTCTAAACTAAGTGAAGGTTAACGCAAAGAAGGAAATTACAACCTGAACATGAAATTAATACGGTTGATGTTGTTGTCTTGAATTAAATCAAACCACAATACCATGGTAATGGTGATATACCATGAACAGTTACCTTGAATTTGAGAAGTGAATTAGGCAGTTTTTTTTTTGCAGAGACAAAAAAACAGTTTTAGACTTACAATTGTTTCTGATTATTAAACTGATTAATATTAAAAAATGCAATTTCTAATCAATCCACAAAATTATTTATGACACTGATTTGATTACAGTTAAGTAACTATACAATTAATTAAAACAATAAACCAACTAATATTGTCACTACGATAATACTTATCATAAACGTGTAGTCCAACTTTCGAGAGCCTGTCTGTATTTTGTAAAGTAAGGTCAAATTATTATTTGTATATCCAGTGAAAATATTTAATCAAAATGAACAGCGTGTATTTATTGTTTATTTTCCACTTGCGATGCTTTCTATGCAATTTCATTTCACGTAAGGTCATGTTTCTCGTTGAGGAAACCATATTCAGTAATTGATATCAGCCACCTGCTACAACAGATTTTTTATTTCAAATATAAGGTTTCAGTGGCGAATTCGATGCAATTTAGTGTACAAATTAATGGAATTATTACCGATAGAAAACTATTATCGGTATTAGTCAATGTATTCGCGCCCATCTCAACTCATTATATCGACAGATTTTAACGAACACTCAAAAGTGGTTTCGATCTAAGACTTACCGGTGACGGAGTTCTTGAATTCTCCGTTTTTTGCGGACTTGGAGAGCGACTTGGAGTCTTTTTAAACGACGGAACATCGCTTTTTGATAAATCAGTTGGAAAGTAACTGTTCTGGATGGTATTGGCAAAATTATTTTGCGATAGAATGGGAGAACAGCCGCCGTTCAATTGCCCAGCATCATCGCCCATGAGATGGTGCCTCATGGTAAGAGCCAGTTCCTCGATAGAGATGTCGAGATCCGTAGAATTACCATCTTCTGCTATCGTCCCCATTTGTGCTGCAAGCGTCGGGCTACCGCAGAATTGTAACACATCCATAGCTGATACGGAACCGCGTCACAGAAGCCATCAGATCATACGGACTTTGATCGCCATCAAAATGGCGTTTGTTGTCACTAGAGCTATTCGAAACCGTGTATGCAAATTAATTGGTCACGTGACCTCGGGCTTCCCCTGAAGTCGGATTACGTTTCCGATTTTTAGGCGTCTCGCTCGTGTCATTGTGAGGCTGTCCCAGAGATATTTTTCGTTTCATAGCTGTTTCTTTTCGACATTGCAATTTGAATTTCGAAAGGATAATTTAAATCCTGAAATCACTAAGCCTAACAACAGATCACATTCTCGCCACATGTGGCCCTTTTCTGCGAGATTTTGGATTATCAAGTTCATAACTTGTTTTTTTTTTCAATTTTAGTCATATTCGAAAAAGTTCCAAATCAGGAAAAACCCACAGCTACTGATGTAAATGTCTAACAATCTTTGAATAAATGCCACTTTCGGGGGAGGGAATACATAGAACTTACCTAATGGGGACGTGCCCCTGAAATGTTTCTCGTTTTTTGATTTTAGGTATAAGTATTCGGTCTTATTTCTTATTTCTGGTCAAGATAGGTATAAATATCGGTAATATTTTTCCGATTTGGTATACTTATGGGTCCGTATATGAGCAAATATCTCCACCTCATATCCCGGCCTCAGATCCATATATACATCAACCCGGAAATTAAACAAGACAATCAACCGATATTTGTGTAAATAATATGCAAGTGACAGAGGTATTTCTATGGTCAAAATACATATTTTAATAAATCAATATACAATGCAACTGTTGGCTTACTATGTTGTTGCTTCTATTGGAGATGCTCTTCTAATAGAGCAAATACGGTAACTGTTTTATTTGGAATAAACAGTGATGACAGAAATGGTACTTTGGTATAAATATGGGTATAGATTTTGCCGCTATCCAAGTATGAAAATGGTCACAATTTTGAGCACTCAGGAACACCTGCGGGATACTGCCCCCCCCCGTTCACATTCTTACCTTAGTAAACAACTTTTTGTAAGCATTGTGGCAACAATGCCTTTTTTCAACATAATATGTAGTTCAAATAAGCTACATTTCATTTTCGATCATCAACCAAATTATGAGGGTCGGCAAGGGATATTTTCGTAAGCTGTAATCAATTGTTTTCGTAATAATGAAATTTTAATAAATAAAAAACGTAAATTCGTAGACATGGGCGTGGGTGTAAAATTTAATCAGTAATTTGTACAAAGATTTTATTTTTTGTAAGCAATTTCCACATTAAATATCGTGATGTAATGTGAAATATAATTAGGAATTCGCTTTATCTGTAAAGTGTAAAAACATATTTTTTACTGTAAATGGAACTTTCATTTTATTTCTTGTAAAATGCGTTTTTTATTTCCTGATATTTATATCCAATTATAAATCCCGAGTAGATATCCTGACAAGTTACAGATAGTCACGTGTATAACAATCATGATTACTATTATGATTTATTTCAAATATAGTCTGTAAACTACAACGCATCACAAACAATCAACAAGTACAACCTGAGATGTTACCAAGCTTTGCATTTAATTAGATATGTTTTAGGTGAATGGAAGATAACGAAGGAGTCACCGGGGATAATTAGTGCAAGTTGCACCCAGGTCAAAACTCGCATTTGTGATTTTCAATAGAAGAGCGCATTGGATTGTGGGAAAATCAATGTTTATCGACACAAATGTCGCACACGTGCAGCGCGACGACCACCGTCCTTTAAACGTGTTGGGTTATGAATCAGAGTGATATATACGACTTTTATTGGCAGACAACACGAGAAGAACAAACACAAGGAGTTGTGAATAAAATAATACATACACTAATTATGGTGAACTCAACAAGAACTCAACAAAGGCTGCAAGAGGGGTAGCCTCGTCTCGCATCACAGTACAGATCAAGATTGAGACAACTGTTGGGACAATATCTCTGCTTGTGTAATTTTCGACCATTTCTCTGGGAAATTTTGGACTTTTCTTATTTTTTTTTCAGGATGTTTTTAAAATGTTGTTGGCACGAAGAGTAGAGTAGAGCATAGATCTGTCTTTTAAGGTATATGAGTAGAGCTGTGCTTCGACTTAGTTGGAAGCAAACATGTAAGTCTCTAGCACTGCAGTTATGACAAACTCTGTGGTCCATAGTTAATATTATGAACATATTTATTTATCAATTAACTTTTTTTTTTACATAAGATTCAATTATTTTTCATATTTCCTCAATGAGGTCAGAGACTTGACTAGCTCCGCTGAACTACCTTCTTGGTCATAAAGTTCATAACTTAACATGCTTATTTTTTGTATCATATGTTCCAATAACGTGTAATAAAAAATAAATTTATAAATTTACAAAAATTTTCAAATCTACAAATTACAGAACATGCTCCTCTGGTGGCCGGTTTCCAACTTGAAGATAGTTGAATATTTTGACAACTTCCATCCTACGATGCAACAAGTAAACTGGGAGATAAGGGTCATGTAAAGAACATGCATTTCGACTTATTTCCGATTTCACGCAAGTTTTTGATAGAGGGCGCAACACCACACATGTCGCAACTTCAGGGGAATCTTTCAGGGTAGACTAGCAAAGTCGGGACTTCTTTTTTTGTTTTACAAAAAGAAATAATTAATTGTTGTTTTAGTCCTTTTAGCGTGAGCACGAAAAAATAACAGACCCCATTCTAGACCGGCAAACTGATATTAGACCAAAAGGCAAGCAAATCTATACCCCATTTCTAGACCCAAACAGCAAAAAATTAAGACCCCAAAGGGCGGCACGTCCCTATAATACGATTTGCATTAAGTGCCCCCCCTCCGGGTACAAACCTTTTTAAATTGTACTTAGAATATGGGATGTGAAGTTTGTGACGAACGACTGCACGCACAACCAGTTGTCATGAACGACACGGACATTACTTTCATCCATCTACGTCATTTGTGACGTCACATTATTACAACACGCGAAGTATTTATTCGTTGAATACATTTAATTATGCCCGTTTTCGTTTTTTTTTTATGTCGATAAACATGATAGAAAATGCTTGCTCCAATCACCGTCCGGTGCTGAGGGACGTGCTCCAAATACTGCAAATTCCTTCACGGAGTCAAAATAAAAACAAAGAAACTGCTTATAACGAACGCTTGGTGGTGCACATATATACTCCAGGTATTGTTATCCGATACTGGGTTTTGAACATGGCAGCTAGCGGGTGGAATGGAAGGACGGTGTCTGTTATTTTATCGATCTTGGTTCTTTCTGGCGTTCAGATCACACTATCACAGAACAATAACACGGATAACGTAGTCGAGAACGTACACGCAGAGTCCGAGTTTCAAAATCCGACAATTTTTCTACCAATTTTAGCTCGCAACAAAGCTCACACGCTGCCAGTTTTCTTGGCCTATATTGACAGATTGGATTATCCGAAATCCAGAATGCGAATTTGGTGAGTACGCTTTCGTTGTTTTTTTAGTTTTATTAACCAGTGCAGTATAAGACAAAAAAACTTGAAGCATAAGTGATTAATAAGTTGTACAGCGAAACGTGTTGATTTGTTGAAACGTTTGCTTCGACCCCGTCTTCGGCTTGTCTGCGCCCTTGAAAGGCGACACCGCTCATACTCTGAGTGTCCCCGAGACGTGGCATAAATGGTACGTATTACAACGTGGCTGCTTAGTCTGGGTCGAATTCTTTCCAACCGTTTTCATTTTGACTCACCTGTTATTAAACAGAAACTTTCAGAAACTTCGGTGCATAAAACCTTGCGATGAACGTCTCCGAAGTTTCCTGTGTTTAGATTGTCAAGCAGTGAAGTGCCTGTGTGTATCCTGTCACTTTTTAAATCACCATCCGAAATTTAACTGTCTCTCTAGTTGACAGAAATGATAACTACAAACAATTCATGAATAATTATTTCTACAGTAACGATGCCAAAATCTGATATATAAATCAGATTAAATGAAATAAAATAAAATTGAGATAACTATTGACCTTTGATGAATGAACTTCATATTGTTGAGACATTATTTTTAATATAATAAAGTGATATAGACCAATAAACATTTATATGTTGTAATATAATTTGTATTTAGAATATAATGAACCTTAAAGTAAATGAAGCAAAACAATAAAATATTTAAATTAAAAAATACAAAATAAAAAGAATGAAAATTGTTTCCACTTGAAGTTCACAGATTTTCAAATCACTTTCATTGTGAAAAAAAAAAGACTCTGCAAACATTTAATTTACATATCATGACAAACCATTGTGCACATTTTTGGGGGGATTTTCTGCTTGGTTTCCACAATTTGATTGCACTTTTTGGCAGATTAGGTGGCTTTCCATTTCAAACTAGTGCACATCTGGTAAAATACTTAAATCAGTTATGTGGTATTTCTGTCCTAATACATCATCTAATTCACCATTTTTGTCATTCTGTGTTGTTGTCAGTGTAAGTCATCAAAGCAGCCATTTTGTTCATCCTTGTTCATATCATGTTGGAATCGCTAAAATAGTCCAAATAAATATGTTTTTGTCTGTCTAAGTATGAGTTTCGAATGAGCCTACAAGTTGCTGGTGTAATAAAACAAACTTCAAACTTCAAAAAACAAACTTCAAAATTTTCTCTCCAAGATATCAAAAACCAATTCTGTGTCAGTGTACATATTAGTTTTTTGTTTTTCTCCGCAAGTATGTCACATGACCTTTTTTTTTTTTACTATAGGATACAAAGCGACCATAATATCGATAACACGACATCAATTCTGAAGGAATGGGTATCCAACGTGAAACATACATACCGCAGTATAGATGAGAGTTACGCAGATGAACCAGATAAATACAGTACCGAAGTCGGTCCACTTGACTGGCCTGAAGAGAGATTCAGTCATATGATTAAGCTACGACAGGAGGCACTTGATGAAGCACGGAGACAGTGGGCTGATTTTATATTTGTAAGTTAATCATACTGTAAAACCATTTATTTTAACTAGTATTTTATTTATCTATTTTGATGCTTTGAGCTATTTCGTTGGGCTTTAAATTCACAAACTTGGCAATGAAATAATGAGTTCTATTGTTATTACAGTATTATTAAACCCACATAAACATAAAACATTTTGTGAAATTTTTTGTATTTTCCTGTAAATTCCTTGTTATTTTTGGACCAAATGAACATGGGTTTAATATAAGGATGGAGGAAAAAGTGATGAATATAATCTGTTCTGTATTTCTACCAAGTTTGTATACCATTTAGTATTTTGAATGTTTTGAAATTGTATGCACATGTACTGTAAAATACTTTATTTTTGCTTGGAATAAATTTTCGCTAAATGGAGTGATTCAGTGAAAATAAAATCCAGTGAATATACATTCAATTCGCCAAAAATCAGTAAAAATAAATTCCATACAAAATGCCTAAAAAGTCTTTTCAGCGAAAAATGAATTCCAGCTAAAATAAAGTATTTAACAGTAGTTCCTGAAATAAAGCTTAAAGCTTCGCTGAATAAGTTTATATATCAAAACTATCCTAAGTCTATGTACTATGGAAATTCACAAATTTCGATGGAAAACATTGTGTAATAGAAATGGTTTATTCCTTTAAAAAAAACACATGTACACAAAGTACCAGTACAATTATTTTTATTTTAGTTAACTTAAATATTTGTCTTCTGAACTGTACCAGTAATTTTTCCATTCTTATCACTGCTCAATGAAAAAACGAAAGATGAATTTCTCAGTCAAAATTTCTATTTCCTTAAATGTGAATATTGATTCTTTTGATTTCAGTTTGTTGACTGCGATAATTTTATTGAAGAGCCCCAGACTCTGAATCTGTTAATAGCAGAGAAAAAAACAATTATAGCCCCAATGATGGAATCTGACTCAGCATATGCTAATTTTTGGTGTGGGGTCGATGACCAGGTAAGTAAATGCATGTTTATAATATATATTTAGCTCAACCAAGGAGGTTATGTTTTTGGTGCATTCAACCAGCCGACCATTTTGAACGCACTTTGAACTTTACAAAATGAAACATTTGCCGTTGTTTCACAAAGAATAACAGGGACAGAAAAATTGAGTATATTCACTTGTTGGTGTCGCAACATCTTTGAACGAATTAGCTCATTGTTCCATAGGGAGAAACATTGTGCAGAATAACAATACTGTAAAATACTTAATTTTCACTATTTTCGCTGAAGGAAAGATTCAGTGGAAATAAAATACAGCAAATATACCTTTTTTCCTATATTTTACACATTCAACTTGTCAAAAATCAGTGAAAATAAATTCCATACAAAACACTAAAAAATCTTTTCAGCGAAAATTAAATCCAGCTAAAATAAAGTATTTTACAGTATACCGAGGGTATGTACTGTCAAAATGTGAAATAATTGATACTTTCGTAAAATGGGTTTCATTTATGCCAAAAACATTGAAATCTCGACCAAACCACTGTGGCCATATAACCCACAAAGTCACCAGGCTTGGCGGCTTGCCATTACGAGCAATGTCCCACAAATCCAGCTGACACCTTAAACATAAGTATTTCCAGATCAGAGATAGAGGGACTGTATTCAATTTGAAGCCATGGTACATGTACTTGGATTTGATCAAATACTCCTGAATAGTACTGTTGCTAAAACAATAGAAACACATGCTCATATATAATATTGATAATAATTTATTTCCCTGTTATTAGGGTTATTACATAAGAACACCGGAATACCTGCCAACATTACGGAGAGAAAGGAAAGGTTGTTTCCCCGTACCCATGGTGCATTCAACATTCCTTATCGATTTACGTAGATCATCGTCTTTGAAGCTGCAATTTAACCCTCTCAATTCGTATCGTGGTGACTATGACGATATTTTGATATTCGCTTACTCAGCCAAAATTGCAGGCAAGTCAGATTTCATGCAGCCATATTGAATTTTTCTACACTCCCGAGGGAGCCATATTTGCTCCTTCTCTAACAAGGTGATGAACACTACAACTTTAAACTGCCAACCAGGTTTGAATAATTGCATTTAAAAGGTGTTTAAATTGGGAGATATTGTAGCACATAAATTTTTGACTCCCGTGTGCGAAGCACAAAAAGGAGTCTTTGCAGTTACCCTGTCTGTATGTCTGTATGTCTGTATGTATATATGTCACTTTTTTTGTTCCACCGTTATCTCAAGAACCACTAATCAAATTTTGGTGAAACTTGGTACATAGATGCTCTGGGATAATGCGCAGAGTTGATTAGGTTTTGGTAAAAATCTATGAATATTAATTACCTAATTTGCATGATAATTAGCTGATTTTTAGCTGTTCCATGACTGTTCCACTGATATATGAAGAACCACTCATTGGATTTTGATGAAACTTGGCACATGGATGCTCTGAACCAGTGTTCTCCCCAGACCCTAAGCCAAGCATCGCGGCTAATTTACATAACAATACATCTTATTTGCATAATTTTGTTTGCATAATAATTAGTTTCCCCAACAAACATTATAACTGAAATAAAGAAGAGATACATATCTCATATATTTTTTATCATTTACATTCATTGTGTTTTATGTGTGCATTTAGTCAAATACAGTTTGAAATAGAACAGGAAAGAAATGGAAATACTTATAGCCAGTCAGAAAATATATTGTTTATCCGTGGAGGTAACTGGTTCATCATTATTTTGTGTACAAGTACAGTCAGTTTTAGTGCCAATGTTACTGTCAGTTCATACGATGGGGGGGGGGATTTGTTTGTTAAATTTGTAAAATCTGTATGAAGAAATTAATAAATCAATAATGACATTTTTTTCTACAACGGCATTTCAAAACTAAAGTCAGCGATTTTTCATTGATCTATCTATTATTTGTGTAACGCTACGATCACCGTAACATTGTCAGCTGACGGCATTGCGTTGAACGGGTATCACCGCTGCTG